GTTGACGTAGCCCAGGGATTGTCGATAAGGTAATACTATCGATAACCAACATTATCCATATATCGTTTGTCATTCTTTTATTAATATATTAAAATATAAATAATGTGTTTTATCGTTAAAGTCATATGTCTCAGCACCCAGCTAACGCAAGGTATCCGGATGCTATAGCATTAGCTTTCGACGAACGTAACAATAAATTAACATGCGTCTACAACGATCATAGTATTTATGTTTGGGATGTAAGGGATATAAGGAGGGTTGGTAAATCCCATTCTTTTCTCTATCATTCCGCATGCATATGGGGTGTTGAGATGTATCCAACAGGAACGGACTCGATAGGATCTATGCCGGCTGGTAGTTTTATCACTTGTTCCAGCGACGATACCATTCGCGTTTGGAATCTCGAGAAAGATGTATTCTCGAATGACACATTGTATAAAAGGAACATATATAGTAGCGTGAGTTGATTTTATTTGATATTGGATTAACCCTAGTTCGTGGTGCCAGACTTTAAAATAATTTTAAGTTGTACTGCTGCATTTAACGTGCATTAAACATACCAGGCACTTTGAACAGCTGTCATTTAAACAAAATGAATAATTTTTACTTCAAAAAAAAAAGAAAAAAAAAATACTGTGTACTCCTTGAAATCTTGGAAATAATAATCGGTAGGTTTAAAAACGCATTTCCAATTCAGTCATTATAAAAAAAAACATTCATGAATCATGCTACGCGTAAATTGTTTTAATTGAGTTCAAAGTTAGTCTGAGATGACCTACCACCTTATAGGCATGATTAGAGTTAAACGAGTTCATTTCTCATAACGTGATTTTCATTCTTATTTATTCTTTATTTTGATCATAGGAATTGTTAAAAGTCCTTTACGTGGATGCAGAATTAACGTATCTTAAGGATTTGGATTTAGCTGCTGCCGGATCGACCGAAAAAAGCGATGCTTCTTACGACGGTCGTAATGGCGTAAGATCGATAAGAGTCAGTCCTGATGGGAAACATCTTGCGTCTGGCGATAGGTGAGATTTTAGATTTTTACAGATTAATATGTTAATCGTTAAAATAATATTAAACTAATATAAAAATTATATAAGAATATTATATATAAAAAAAAATTATATAAGAATTAAAAGTTATACATATATAACATATAATTTTAATATTAAATATTATTTTTATTATTACGATAGATTAATACGTTAAAATAATATTAAACGAAGTTAATGTATCTTTTCGATAATGCAATATTCGTAAAGTTTAATAAATAAAATATACGAAAGAATATTCTTTATATATTTCATAAATTATATAAAAATATAATATATTATAAATATATTTCATATAAAATTATATATTATATACAAAAATATATATATATACAATCTTTATATATTTTATATATGAAGGATATTGTTACATGAAAATTATATAACATATATAACAATATAATCTTTATGTCAAATATTATTTTTATTACGATAGGAACTATAGTTATATATAATATTTCTGTTAAACGTTATATATATATATAATATTTAACAGAAATAATATATATATAAATTTAACAGAAATATATATAAAGGAAGCAACAAAAAAAAATAGAATTTTAAAAATCTTTTTATGCGTGTTATTTATCGCGTCAATTAAATTATCATCCACTGGAGATGATTTTAAATATATATTTATATATTCTAGATCGGGAAATATACGTATCCATGACGTTTCCACCCTGGAAGAATTGTGTTTAATAGAGGCTCACGACGCGGAAGTACTTTGTCTCGAATATTCGAGGTTTTCGCAATATTCTGTTGAAACGCCAAGACTTTTGGCAAGTGCTTCGAGGGATCGATTAATTCATGTATTCAGCGTCGATCAGGATTACAATTTTTCACAAACCTTGGACGATCATAGCTCGTCGATTACCGCCGTGAGATTTTTTAATCAAACTAATCAAAGTAATCAGCTGCAAATGGTGTCTTGCGGGGCTGACAAGAGTATCATCTTTAGGCAATTGCAATCCGTAAGATACATATATATATACATATATATATTTTTTTTTTATTCTTTTTGCTTTAGGAAAAAAAACTCTCGATAAAGATGATTGAAAATAAGCGTTGTATGTGTTATTATGTTTTTTTTTCTTTTTTTCTTTTTTTTTATAGACACCAGGCGGAATGCCACAATTCGCCAGAGGTCATAACGCTCAGGGAAAGACAACGTTATACGATATGGAAGTGGATTCTGGACAAAAACATGTTTTAACTGCCTGCCAAGATAGAAATATTAGGGTTTATAATGTAACTACCGGGAAGCACAGTAAAACGTTCAAAGGATCCGTCGGCGAAGATGGATCCCTCATTAAAGTTGTCTTAGGTAAACAGATCATTGGATTTATCATTAAAAGTAATCACAAAAAAAAAAAGGAGAGAAAAAAAATGAGGAAAAAAATTTAATTAAAAATTATTGTTATCGAATATAATATCTAATGCATATTAATGTTTACAATGATTAACATAAATGACATTGCGACGATATAAAGGAATGAAAGATATTTATTAAAATTTATTCTTTCGTTTTGCATAATTCGTTTATCGTCTTTTCGTGTGACTTGCGACAAAAAAAAAAATTTTGTTTAGAACCGTCGGATTCGAGAAATTTTTAAACGATTAAAACCCATACAAACAACGATATAATAATATGATGTAGAAATATTATATATATATATCTCTGATATTTACAGATTCGTCAGGAATTTACGTAGCTACCTCATGTACAGACAAGACATTATGTGTTTACGATTATTATAGTGGTGAATGTATGGCAACCATGCTCGGTCATTCAGAATTAGTGACAGGATTGCGTTTTAGCTCGGACTGTCGTCACCTCGTTTCTGCGAGTGGTGACGGTTGCATATTTGTTTGGCGTGTGCCTCACGATATGGTTGTGACGATGCAAGCGCGACTCGCTCAACAGGCAATGCGTGCTGGAAAGTAAGATACATACACTTTCTTTTCTTTTCTTTTTTTTTTTTTTTTTTTTTTTTTGTAAACGTAACAGAAAAATGAAATATTGCGACGTTGCGTTTTTTTTTTCTTTTTTTTCTTTTTTTGAGAGTTGCAAGTTAATTTTTTTTTCTTTCTTTCTGTTTACGACAGAAGGCCACCACAGGTCAATGGTAGTGGAATTGAAATACAGTTAGATAATGAAACGTTTGGATCACCGCCACCAGAATTTCTCGATCCAAATGCAAATCCTGCCCCTCAAAATGTTGGTGTCGATTATAGATTTAGCGTTGGTCAATTACCTCTCTGGGCGAAGAAACAAATTAATACGACGACCGTCGAAGAAACAACGACGGTTAGTTCGACCGTTCGACCGCTTAGCGTAGATTTACCAAAAGGAAGATGGGCTCAAAGGGTACAACAAGGTGATGGTATTACCGTCAAATCCGTTTACGATAGCGATGAGGTCATACCCTTTCCTCCTCCTCGTGGAAGCGTCGATTCTGATGGAGGTGGAGGAGGTGGTGGTTCGAAGGACAGTTCTATCGACAGCGGTACCGAAACCAAATGCAGTAGCGATTATCGTCGTGATACTATCATTCTCAAAAGGGTTAGTTTACATTGATTACAATATATATATATTTTTTTTTTATTTATGTTTTAATACATATTATTTAACATATTATTAAGATAGAATAATATATGTTTTATTATATATTATATGAAGGAAAAATGATAATAAGATATAAAAGTTAATCAAAATAAAAATCATAACTTATATTATCATTTTGATAATTCCATTTTAGGAAGAGGAAGAAAGTGTATTTCAACCATGTCCAGATAGTTACAGAGAATTAACCAATGAAACAAAACAGGTATTAATGAGTCAAATTTAACGATATTTACGATGCATCTCCTTTTTTTTATTTTTTTTTTTTTTTTTTTTTGCATGAATATGTTAATAATCCACGATTATGAATCATAAATATCATTCGTCGTCATATTTAATCTCTCAATGGTAACAATTTGTTATAATTATTTTATAATTGTTAGCTTTGCTGATCGTTTTACGTGATAATTTTTCTATTTTGCCTTTATCAAATATTAATGTTATCTTTTTCATTTCCATTTTCTTCTTCTTCTTCTTTTTTTTTTTTTTTGTGTTGATCCTCATTTTATTTCACCGACCAACGTAGGTGATCGGTGGTAACGTGACGATTGCTAGAGGTAACAATATCACGGAAGTGACACGTCAATCAAGAAGTCGTCATCACACTGATGATAGCAGTCTTGGGAGTTTTAAATTCGAGGTATTGCTTGCTTATACTCGACGCGTGCGAGTGCCTGCAGCACACTCATGGATTAAAAGCTATGATAAAATTTTTATAACTATGTTAAAGTAAAACTGATATCGTTCGATAAGAAAATATTTTTAAAATAAACGATACTTCATCATTATTCTAAGCAACACATTTTTTTTTTTTTTTTTTTTTTTTAATCATAATTTTATTGCTTTTGCATTATACGTGTGTCGTTAGCTTTTTTTCTTTATTTACTTATTTAATTCTTTTTCTTTCCCTTTTTTTTTTCTTCTTTTTTGGTTTCCCTCTTTTTTTTCGTCGTTATTGCTCTATGTAATAGATATAATCTAACTTCAATCGTTTATGAATAATAAGATAAAAATAGTATATGTATGTACATACATATATATATATATGTGTGTGTGTGTGTGTATATATATTAACACATATATACATATACACACACCATTATTTGCATTTATTTAATATTATTTTATTTAGGATCATGAAAGTACGGAACATGATGGTGACGTAGAAGATTATTCCGAGGGAGAGAATGGTACGACTGGTTCAGAAAAATCACATCATAGATTAATGTATTATCCACCACAAGAGGATACTGTATCGAATCAGTTTACAGTAAATGCGATGGACGTTGAAGAACTTCGAAGGTATGTTTAATTCGTTTGACAATTCGTTATTATATTTTTATATTGTATTTCGTATTGAAATAAAATCTATTTGTTAAATCACGGTCGATCATAGATCTCAAAGGCGGCAGAAAAAGCCAAGAAATACAGAAAGTGGACGAACGAGCGAATTAACTGCATCCGGTAGCCAAGATGATTCCGATTCGGAAGGTGGAGCGTCAACGCCAAGTGCCGAAAGAAATCCATTATCAATGTTATCAGAAGCAAGCTCGGAGGGTTTCGATCAAATTACGAAACAAAGTCATCGCGAGAAATATTTAAAAAATGCATTCGAGTCTCTTAGCGGCGCCGAAGAACCAACAAATCGTGTAAAAACAACCAGTATTAGTTCTCAATTTCATGGAAGGTAATAATTTGTCGGATAATAATTAACAAATATTATCATTGAACTTATAAATACAATAATCTTACTGCGTTCCTTTTCATAATTATATATATTAGGGTAAATAATGGTTCAGAAAGTAACAATAGCAACAAAGTACGTAATGCAGCGGTAGTAAATGCAACGAAACATGCCAGGGGTGATGCGGATATTGTTAAGAAACGAGAGGAATTACAAAGAAGAATAGAAGAGACCAGAAGAAAGCTGCAAAGCGTAAGATTATATAACTTTCTATTTTTTTTTTTTTATTTTTTTAATATGATAAATTCGTTGACAATGTTATATTCTGTTTTAAAGGTCGGGTACAGGTCATCCTTAAAAAGCAGCCAGAGCATTTCTGATTTAAGCAGCCATATACCAGAGAAACATCATCGTTCAAGTAGACTTAACACAGGTAACAAATTGGGTGAACAAAACAAATTTTCAAAGCCAATTAATCCTTGCAAACCTATGCCAAATCCAAAACCCGCGTTTAAACCGCAACAACTCATTAACAAAGTCCAAGGTGTTGGGAATGCTTTATCTAAATCAGATATATCAAATGAACAGTGCAGCTTAAATAATGATAATAATAAAACAACATCGTGTGTAAGTGAAAAGACAATACCATCTCTTAACCGTCCACTAACACTTACATTAAAGAAAACTGAAAAGTATAAGCTGTCATTGAATAAGCCCAATCAATCATTACCCGAATCTCCTGTATGCGAGGAATTAAAACTGTTGAAGGAACATTGTAAGAAAAACGTTAGTCGTTTCGCAAGATTCGCACAAAAGAGAAGATCCTGTAGTTATTTTATCGGTCTCGACGATAACGAGGAAGAAATGGAAAATCTGGCAAAGTCGTTTGAGAGTTTGCCAGCAATGAACGAACGTAATATTGAAAATTTGAAGCAAACGATTGACGACGGTGACGATGGTAATGGAAATTTCAGCGATGATTCATTGGAAGGCGATTTCAAAAATCCACCGCGACGTTGTGTTAGCGATTATCAAATTAACATACATATGGACAGTAGTAGTCATGTAGATAATAAAAGTTATCCAAATTATCAGACTTATCAAAGGAGGATTTTAACAGGTTCGCAAGAAAGTATATTGTCGGATGCTTCGGTCGAATCATTTTCAAAAGGTAGCGCCGAAATATTGGATTGTAATAACTACGATCATGACAGGCACTCCAGCGCAAGTTTTTTCTTATCGAAACGTAAAACACAAGTTGGAAGAAGTCAGGAGAGCATATTAACTGACGAATCGGATTATCAAATGTTTCCATTACAGAAGAACGTTGATCATAGAAGTACAGAAAGCGTTTTAACGGATGACTCGGATTCGTTGGTTAAATCGGCACCGTTAGAAATGTTATTTGATTCACATTACAAAAGAAAACGACAAAATTCCGAAACGTACAGTGGAAATCCTAACAACGAAATTGAAACTACAAACAATACACAAACATCGACGGATGATACCACTTTGTGCAGGGCTGTATTTAGATCAAAATCCCTTCAAGATACAAGAATGTGTAAAGCTAAAAATGATATTAATTTTAGCGAGGATAACGCACAACCGGCTACGTGTATATATTATGAATTCAATTTTGACAATGATAATGAGAAAAATTCGGATATTAGAATAATGGCCAATTCCGATGCAATGTCAAGAAGCAACAGTTTAAAGGTATCAAAGGAGCCACATTCAATGCTGATATTAAACGACTTCGTGGCGCATAAACCACCAAAACCAAAGAGAAATTCATCGCGTACCCAAAGTATGCGTAACAGAGCAAGACCAGCATGGAATAAATATAACATGGACTCGTCCTCGTCACAATCGACAATACAAAACATCGAACCAATTAATTACTCCGCGACTTTACCCGCTAACTTATCTCATTTAAGTTATAAAACAAGGAACGACGAGGATTCTTCTAAACAAAATCGAAAGGACGGCGATGCCAATTCAAAAAGATTCGAAGAATTTTTACAATCCGCTAAATATTCATTGCAAGCTACGAACGACGAAACGAATGATAGAAATATATTTTTCAATCAACAAACGCGTTTAACAGATAAGAAGATAAACATAGGAGGAATACCACCGTACAATCCTGAAAATACTTTGGATAGATACAAACGACAGAATGTTAATGAACCTTCTCGTATAATGTCCAACGAGGAAGATAATGCCAGTCACGAAAGGGACAACATATGTTCTTTTGAAAATCAAATACCAACGAAGGATACAATGGAAACTTATGACTCTTTAGAACCCAATGTTACATCATCTATCGATTTACATGGAACCCAACTCGAATCAAACAATTCCAATTTACAATCAACGAACGCGCGCATTGATAATTTGGATGCTAGCGTTGACGTTAGGATAACACGTGCCATAGAAGGAACCGTTAAATTATTATCCAAAGAATTTGAGAATTTAGTTAGAAGGGAACAATACTTCATGAAGGAAAAATGTTTGCGTTTAACTCATTGTCCCGAAACAAGTGAAAACTTTGCCAAGCTTGAGGCCGAACGTGACAGTAGATATTGCACTATTAGACGTGACATACGTATTCATTCCGGTGGCGAGGATAGCGATTGCGCCGATATATCAACGATGGATAAATCATTGATGGAAAGTGGTTCCTCTACGTCAGCATCGAGTTGCACGAATTCCCCTAAACGGATGTGGCCACCTGCGTCACGATGTCAGAGTCACATGAAGTGGACAAAAACTTTGCCCACTATTAATCAAGCAACTATTCCCACGAAACATCTTTATGCAGGTACTTAAAGTGGAGTCCAAAATATCAAGTAATTAATATACGTAGAATTTATGAAACAAATTTAGACGTGAGATATATATATATATATATATATATATATATATATATATATGTGTATATGTATATGTATATGTATATGTATATGTATATGTATATGTATATGTATATGTATATGTATATGTATATGTATATGTATATGTATATGTAATGTAGCTCATATATATATATATATATATATATATATATATATATATATATTCGAACTTTCTTCTCATTACCGTTTTCATTGAATCGTATTAAAATAGCGTGTGTATTTTATTTTTTTTTTTTTTTTGCTTATAATAGACACCTTCGTTAGTCAGGCAAGCACGATATATACACAAATAATAAATACGTCTATGTATAAAAAAAAAGTAAGATTAAAGTAAACAATTTATAATAATAATATACCACAGAGTAACATTGACAGTCGCATATAAAATTGCATAGATAATTATCGCGCATATTACAGTAATAATATAATAATGCATACAAAAAAAAATAATATTCCTCTATTATATTTTTTTTAGCTTTTCGATATGAATGCAATAAAATGATGTACAATTAAAAAACAATGTATAATACATATAAATTAATTGCTTGAGAAAATGCTATTGTCTATGTTTATACATATATATATACATATATTTTAAATATTTAATTAGAAGACTCGTTTTCACAAAGACAGCAATTACTTTTCAGTTTGAATGCCTTTATTTACAAAGTTATGGCTTCATATGTGTATAATATTTTCCAGTTTTTACTTCTTTCGGAATGACTTGCTAAATTGCGGCATGTTTTATCATCCTTTTTATATAATTCATCCTGCTTTCCTATTTTTATCCCATATCTGCCTTATCACAAAATAATGTATATTAATTTCATTAATATCATATATATTTTATATAAATTTTCTTTTTTTCTTTTCATTTTATTTCATTATTTTATATAATATTTATCTTTTAGTTGGATAAATGAAAAAACAAGAAAAGAATATATATATATATATTACATATTAAATTAAATTAATAATAATATATATTATAATTAATCTAATTTAATATGTACTATATATATGTGTGTGTGTGTGTGTATGTATATATATATATATATATATATATATATATATATATGATACACATGTCAAAAAATAAAAGATAAGCATTTATATTTGTTATAAAATTACATTTGCGTTGTGTCAAAATGTAGTTTAGTGCATGTGTGTGTGCATTGTCAACAGTTGGCAGTAATGGGGGGCGAATCTCGTCAAAAGTTATTGACAGTGAAGAAGAGGGGAGTGGCATGAGACGTGCCTGTTCATTAAGTGATCTTTCTGTCAGCCCATCAAATAGATTACTGCATGGTCCTGTACAAGGTATTCCTTTCATGCAACATATTTTATTTTAATTTTACATGCTTCGATAATTAAATGAATGATGATCATTTTTACCTTTTTTTTTTCTTTTTTTGTCTTTTTTTGTACTTTCACTTTTTTTTTTGTTCCTTTTTTTTTTTTAATCCAATTCTATATAATAAGTGTATTATAATAAGTGGTATTAATTAGTATAGATGTATTTTATTTGATAAAAATAAAAGAATTTGTCTATATATTTATATTCATTTTAATTGAACAAAATAGTTTCAGGAAAAGTAAATACTAAAAATATTAGTACATCGTCAAGAGGTAATTCTGGGAATATAAATATTGGCAATCAGTTAAGACATTCAACCACGAAAAATCATTCAAATCACATGACAAGAAGTAGTAGCGTCGGTGTATTAAATCAGGTATCATACATTATTAAATTTATAATTAAATTAATAGACTAGGAAATGATCAATACGTCAAATTTTTATTAACGTAAATATCTGTTCGTTTTATTAACAGAGTGATTCAGAATCTGATGCTGGTGTATCAGTAGGAGGAAGAGGATGGAACAATCAATCTGGAAATAATAGAATGAGTGGCTTAATGAGGCCAACGATTAGTTCACAAAATAAAATCAATCATCAGATTAAATCGAATTCCTCATCAAGTAATAATCTTCCTTCTATTCTAAGGCGACGGGGTATGCAGGGAGCTTACTCTAGCGGTAATTACAAATTTTGTTTCTTCTTTTTTTTTTCTTTTTTTTTTCTTTTTTTTTTTTCTTTTTATAAAAATCCTTTCCATTTAAAATCGTAGAAACTCATAACATTCCTTTTTTTATATATATACATATATATATATACAACAATAGTAAATCTAAGTCAAGTTGGTAATCAAGAAGATTCAAGTTCAGAAGATACTTCATCTAATGGAAATGGTGTCAAGCCAGCTCTACCTCCAAGACCTAGAAGTATCAGTATTGATCATTCCTCAGCCAGGTAAATAATAATTATATTGTCAAAAAATTATTTTATAAAAATTCACATGTATCATATATGTTAATATTCTGTCATATACAAATACATATATATATATATAATAATAATAATAATAATAATAATAATAATTTTATAGTTTATGCCTTCCTGGTACTGCCGTTAGAAGATCTGGGTCATCTGGTCTAATAACAAATGGTCGAGGCAGTGGAAACATAATTGGTCAAAGTGGTGCAAGGTTATCAGTACCAAACAGAAATCAATTAGAACCAAGCCCTCAAGAATTACCTGTTAAAGATACAGACCGTGCCATTGATGTAGCCAGTGCCGAATGTAAGTATTACACGAGCTTATATTACAAATAATTATGTCAGTACTTGTATTCATAAATCACTATCATGATTAAATCATCTTTCTCAATCGTCTTAGCATGCAAGATTGCAGGGAATTATTGAAAGCATTGTTTGTAAATTTTTCATGTTACTAAAATTTGGTGTGGCTACAAATCCGGACACATTAATTGGTATTTCATATTAAATAGAAAAAAAAATCTTACAATAAATATTATATATTTCAATCTAATATAAACTTTACTCTTACAGTAGGCACGGATAAAGCATTAGGTAAACTAAAGACTTCTATTGAGAATGCTGTCCTGTGAAAATAATAAATCTATGAGTGTATTCAAAATTTGTAAGTGATCATGCTATAACAAAAAAAAAAAAAAATAATAAAAAAAAAAATTTTTTTATATCGTCAAAGTCACATCCAAACATAGTACAAATTAGAATCCAGTGTCCAGATTGCTGTATATATAATTGCTACATCTTCCGTTTAAATTTTCTAATGATATTTGCTAATCATGTTAGCGTCCATAGAGGCTTATTTAAAAATTACGAAGATCTATATTTGATTGAAAGAATGTTACCACCTATTATATTTATTTCTTCTTTCATAAAAATAGCTTCACCTTTGACCTATTTTCATATATTAGTTTAGTATTACATCATTATCAAATTTGTTCATCCATCATAAAATTCAATCGATTTCAGATCATTATTCAAAAACTTATTTCATATTTTATTATAAATATTTCAGCTTATAATATTGTATATGTAATACGAATAGCGTTTCCCCCCTCTTACGTTTCTTAATTTAAAATAAATTTCATCGTTCTTCCTTGTTATGCAACGAATAAATCATAAATAATCATATTAATGTTTATTACAAATTAGATCATTACATAGAAAACAATTGACGAAGATGTTGAATAATGGAGACCTCCTTTAAGAAAAAAAAAAAAAAAGTCATTTTCCATATTTGTAGGTATCAATCATAATAGCATGGTCTCATACGGATTTTAGAAGCAAATATATACCCGCACGTTGCACGATGCTGCTATTTACTGTGTTTAAATATGAAAGAAGATAAATGTTACATTTGAAATCTTATCGTGTCTATAAATAAAATTATATTCATGATATTATTTGATAATATTTCAAAACAAATGTAACATTTATCTTAATAAAAAGAAGGAAAAAAAAAAGAGAGAAAAAAAAAAGGAAAAGAAAAAGTGAATGCGTATTTCAATAGTTTCATGGGGAAAAAAAAATTTTTAATGCCATGACATCGTCTTTGCAGTGTCAACTCAACTATGCAATACAATTGCGGATGAGCTTACGCGAACAGCAGATAACGTTGTACAACTGTACAAACGTTTAACTATAGACAATGAGGATGATCCATCAAGAACGACCATCGATAGGGATACAATGTTACGTGGTCTAGAATCTTCTGTCAATGAAACAATGCGTACATTACGACTAGTTGTGGCAGGCGTTGAAAATCATAATGATGAAACTAGTAATAATGTTGCCCCGAACGAAGTTACCGCGAAGTTTCAAGAATTACTTGCAGGCCAAGATCAAGGGAAGGTAGTGAACATGATGCAACAATATTCAGAATTACTCTTAAATATGATGCAACAAAGGATGGGAGGGACACAATCGAGCCATACATAAAATAAAAGAAGAAAAGAAAATCCGTCCATCTGATGATAAATTGAATTATTATGCAAATGGATAATGTATTCATGTTCAAAAGCACGTACGTTTGTGATGAGTGAATAAGTATTTTCTCGGCGATAATAATAATAATAATAATAATATTAGATCACATTCCTAAGTGCAGGATATGGATATTTTGTTTTGTTTTTCTAAAGGAAAGGAAAAATATAAGAAAGAGAAAGTGAAAATGAAAATGAAAATGAAAATGAATAAATAAAAGAGAGGGACTTCGGTATTTCAGTTGCCAAGATCCTAAGTGCATATCGTAAGCACGCATATGTTCCTTTTCAATTTGTCATAGTAGTACATTGCATTCTTTGTGAGTACTTTTTGAATGAATTTAATATAAACTTAGTTCTTAAAAAGCAGATTGAACTGTCAGCAATGGAGCCTTGGGACTTGATAGGAATTATAACATGTATTACTAACTGCTGAACAGTATCATTAGAAAAAAAAAAAATAAGAAGAAGGAAAAGGAAAAAAAAAAGAAAAGGAAAAAGGAAGAAAAAAAGAACTTCATAGCACAAAATATATTATTTTTGACTAATTCTTAAGCACTATAATGGTTCGCACTTGGAGATGAGGAAATCTTCAACGTCGTTCAATGTAGTACTTGTTATTAATCAATACAATTTGATGATAAATATGCTGAGGAAGGAACGTGTGAAAATAACCGGATAAACTCCAAATAATGTCATATGGTATAACTTTAGGACATTTATTTATCCTATTTATAAAATCAAATGTGTCGAATTTGTGCGTATTTTATCTTGAGGCCATATGCCGGGAAATGCCAATTAACTAAAGACTATTAGTATAGTATCCACAACAAACATACATATATGTATATTTATCAAATATTGAATGGTATTATAACGTAATATTAGTATTCTTGTTATGTAACCAAAGGGGTTGTCTGTACCTATGGTAAAAAGGGAAATTCTTTTCCCCTCCTAAATGTTTAAAAAGCTTTTAGACAGTCCATTAATAAAAAAAAAAAAAAAAAAAAAAAAAATAATATACAGTATATAAACTTGCCAGAATAAGAAAGCGCCTAGTTACTAAATTACTATATTAAGAAGTATAACCAGGCTTTTCCAGATATAGAAAAATGTAGGGTGCAAATATATGATTATATATTTCACATAACGTTATTTATAATTATTGAAATTTTCTTTCTTTTAAATGTTTACGCATTGTTAATACTTTTTTTGTCGAAAATAGTAAAAAAGTTTTTAGTTGTTGTTAATATAAAATTGTACAAAGAACCGGGAGAAATATTTTTTACTTTGATTTGTAAAACTGATTGAAATTTACAATCGATATTTGCACGAACTACCAATTTGATGTTACCTTATAATAATGGCATATTTTGTCATAGGAATTGACCTATACTTGCATATTTTTCCACGTAAACATATTATTCCTAAGAGTACTTCTCACAGTTCCAAAACATCATAAATTTCAATTAGAATTTGGCAATGATATTGTCCAAAATTTTTTATCAATGACATCACAATTATAAAATCATAAGGACCTGCAAACTATAGTTAGAATATTATTGTACCTTGTTGGAATATCTTATACATGAATATAAAAAATATGCAAAGAATAGTAGAAGACTTCTACTAAAACAATAAAATATACATATTATATATTTTCAATCATAAAACTGGCAGAGAGATTAAAAATACATTATTATACTTCACACATATAATTTTCTAAAATGCATTAGTCCGTCTAGAATATTATTTTTTAATCCATACATTTGTTATTTTCGAAAAATTCATAAAAATTGAAGTCTTCTGCAAATATCTTTGGGAATTATTTTAATAAGAATATTTTATGAAAAAAAACAAAAAAAAATAAAAAAAATAAAAAAAAGAAGAAAAAAAGACAAAACAAGATACAGACAAAATCACAAAGAAAAACAAATATGTTTGCATTTCCTTGTGTAAAATTTCGTACAATTTCTGTATGTAGTTCGATAAATTAGACGTCGTCTATATATGAGTATGTATGTATGTGTGAGTAGTAGAAGTTAAATTTCGAAAGCTAAAAAAAAACTTTGCTGCGAAGCCTGCAATACTGAATAATAATTGATGCACGATTATAATATTTAATCAATCATATTCTCGAACGGACGGAATTGTACTGTGGAATAATACATCTGAAATGTATAATATTTAACGATTTTAACATTTGCAGAAAAATGTAATCTGTTTTCTATTTTTTTTTTTTTTTTGTTTTGTTACGTTGTAAGTTCTTTCTTGTTTATTATAACATTCTCACATTGTATGTAATGTATAAAAAGTGCCATTTAGGTTAACAAATCTCATTCAGCAATACACATAAAAACACAGATTCCTATATAATGTGCTGCTTTTAATATTATATGAAAGAATACTATTTAAAAATATTTTATATATATAATCAATTTTCTTTGGTAACATCACTGCTAATCAATCCTTATTAGTTTTACATGAAATTATAATTATTTATTTCTGTGAGATTTAATAATTAATAATGTAAAGATTAAAAAATAATCAACAGATATAGAAAACAAAATGTTTACGAAAAAAGATTTATATTCCTGAAAATAATTAAAAACAAAAAAAAAAAGAAAAAAGAAAAAAGATAATAATATAAAAAAAAAAAAAAAAAAAAAAGAAAAGAAATAACCACATACGAGCAACAAACTCTAGTATATGTAAAATTTTTTAACTGGTATCAGCATTTTTGTAATATGTATTGCTAGAAAATGAACATGAGTGTAGAAAGAGAAACATATGCAATTTGAACAACAAAGTACTGAATCTCATTATGCATCTAAACGTATTTAATTAAACTCATGTAAGAACATATTCTCATTCCAAATTATCACTTTCATGCTACATTAATATCATCTACAATGACATTTCATAATTAAAAATTACAGTGGCTTTGTATATTACGTGCGTTGTATTAAGTTATACGATTATGGAATATATAATAGGTTATCCATTTTTTTTTTAAATGTACATATTTATTTGAGCTCCGTAAGTAGTAAATGACTTCATAAAAAAATATAGATGCCAAATGTAACAATTCTTCATAAATATCTTTTAGCATTTCATTTTGTATATTATATTAATAATTAATAATATAATAATGTGTATTATCTAAAATGTTAATGTTCTATTAATTTGTTCTACTTTATCATCGTATTTTTTTTTTCTTTTTTTTTCTATCGAATCCATTCATTGTTTCTTTAAAGAAGGATATGAACTATATTTATAACATTATAAATTATATATGTTATTAGATAAAAGCTTGATATGAAAAAAAAAAGAAAAAAATATATAGTGACAGACAAAAATTTAATGACGAAAATTAGAGAGATTTTATTCAAGTGCCAATTCTGATAAATATATAATTTTCCTATACAGCAGCAATATATTATCTAATAATAATTAATTCTATTAAATCTTATTAAAATATTAAATTATTATAATAGTAATAATTTTATTTAACGTGTAATAAATTTTGAGATAAATATCAGTTTTTTTAAAACCATTAACTTTGTAATTAATATGATAATAAAAACAATTAATCAGAATTATTGAGACTGAGAGTATGTAACGGTAGTAGTAGTAATGTAGCAAAATAAGGTTTGCTGATATAACGTATGTATATAGTTAGATAGTTAACAGCGATTACGAGTATTCATTCAAATCAGACGTTAGGACAATTTTATATAATAGTTAATGACAAATATTTCTTGGGAAATTTTCTATATGATCATCAGTTGACGACATTTACATAGATAATATTAGATGGTTGTGTAATTTCTGTCGTATTTCATTCGTAAAAAGATAAAATTGTTTTTGATGCCAATTAAACGAAAACAGTTATAGATAATATTGGCCAGAATATTACAAATTATATAAACTTTAATTTTATCAAAAGAATACGACAAAAATTATATTGCAATCTAATAAATAAGATTATTGTCCATAAAAATTAAGACTATCTTTTTTTTTTTTTTTAAGTTAGTAAAAATCACTATTTATGATTCAATTTAAAACAATATTTCATTTATCCTTGTTTTCATCATTGTATCTTTTGCATGCTGTAAATGGCAATGACAAAAGGAAACAAAAATTAATAACATAATTGGAATGAGGCAATGATGCTCCCTATAAAATTAGTATAATAATTAATATTTTGGCATTTCTATTAATAAAAATTTCATAAATTATATTATATATATTCGAATGCACATAAATTCAGCATAAAATTCTATCGTAGCTTTCAGTTTCACTTTCCCATTGAACGTAATTCTTCCAGCTATAAAAAAAAAATCGATAATAATAATAATAACAACAACAATAATAATAATAATAATAATAATAATAATAATAATAATAATAATAATTACATATTGCATTTAAAAATACATTGAAAAGTTTTGAAGAGTAATATATTTTAAGACTTTACCTCCTTTTCTTCATCTACTTCATCCTCCTCGTCCTCCTCATCAGAACCATGGACAGAGGCTGCAGGAGTAGTATGTCTTGAAGATGATGGTGAAGGTGGTTCACTAATCGGTCTTGGATAACTAAATCTGCCTACACCACCCTCTGCATACTCTGATGCAAGCTCAGGATAAACAGTTGTCAATGCCTTTATTCTAGCTTGACGATAGTACTATAATTATGAATTATATTACATTTAATATTTAATGGTATTCGTATGTAATAAAAAAAAAATATATAAAATAATCAATTAACTTACGATACCAAGATTCCTCCAATCAAGGAGATCGCTCAATCTCTCGGTACGATTTCTTTGAATTATACGTTGTCTTCGACTAAGTCGAGCAAAATCGAACATATATTGTGCAAGTTGTTGAACGCTATTTTCCAAACTAATAAATCTTCGATCTACGATATAAATACCATAACTCATTGGATCGGCTATATGCTCTTGCATAAAACATCCAAATCCAGATAAATTAGTAGTTATACTAGGAATGCCCATAACAGTACATTCAGCGGGAGTATATCCCCATGGTTCGTAATAAGATGGAAATACTCCTAAATGACAACCACGAACGAATTCTTCATAATCTAATCCAAACAATGGATTTGTTGATGATAAAAATTCTGGATGGAATACCATCTGTGAAAAAGAAAAAATGACAAATTATTAGTTTTGTTATCTTTCTTTTTTTTTTTTTTGTTTTAAGAATCAATTACCTTCACTCTATCATTAACTGTATTGAAAAGATTACATCTTCTAATGGAATTTAAGACTGGATCATTCCAATCGTCTACAACATTATGTGTGGTAACAGGTGGTAATCCATTTCTTTGTAGAGCATACAAACATCTGAGACAAAGAAATGATATATAACAATTATGTCAATAAAATCGATTCAATGAGACGAGTTGAGAAACGTAAACGAAACATTGGTTTGCTAAGACAACATAATAGATACATATAATTATTGGCTGTGAAGTGATAATTAATTATTGAATTTAAGAGTATATTTTAATAAGTTATTGTTAATACTTGTTTCAACTTCCTACCTAAAAACTATTATAAAGTCCTAAGGTAATAAATATATACTCCTAACCTAATCATGTTCCTGTCACGTATATATATATGTTACATCCTCTGACTCATCTCATTGAACAGACTACAATATGATATCAATATACATATTCATTTTAATATCGTATACCTTTTTATTTTAATAATATCATCTTTTAAAAGAAGATCTTGTGCATCTGGCATACGACCCGACAAACATAATTCATACATTCTTTTACCCATTTTGTGTTGTATATCAGTAATTGTATCCCTTAGTGCTTTGGTTACCTAGTAATAAGAACAATAATGGTCATTCGATTTTATAAATTCTATTATAATGTAATAAGTCTTACTTACGGCATGACCACGTAATGATTCTACATTAAAATTATTAGTACGCGCTGGAAAAATAAGAAATGCAACTACAGTAATATCAGGTCTTGACGTCTTTAAATAATGATTTAATCTTGCTAAAGCTTCTATGAAAATATCAGCTCCTTTATTTCCAAACTCATAACGGCCTGCGATAAAAAAGTATAAAGTTTTGTCCAAGTCAAAATCATAATGCCTGAAAAACAAAAAAAAAAAAAAAAAAAAAAAAAAAGAATATAAATCATAAAAGTATAAAATAAATAATGCAACGTTGTTAACGATTCAAACAAATATGTACCCATAAAAATGGCCTCGTACAAATTCGTGTATTTTCTCTTTGCTGACGGCATGTAAATTTTGAAATTCATGTAGTGCTGCGAACTTTTTAACATTTAATCCATTTGGTGTAATAATATCAGGTTTGCGTTTGAGTAAATGTTCAGCTTCGAATCCTGTAATATCCGATACTGTTGTAAATGTATGTGCTAAATGTGTAGCTGCTCGTTCCATACAATATCTATGATAAATTTGGCGCTTCCCGGCTTCTTCATCTACACTGAACTGTAAATGAAGTAGATATATAATTCAATTTATCTAACAATATAAAAATGTTATATAAATTACCTTATCTAAATTGTTGTAAAAATCAGTCTTTCCTGCGCATAAATATCTTCCAAGGAGTGTAGCATGTGTTGTAAAGACAGTTGCAACATCAACGTGTCTTGTTCTTAATGCGATTAAACCAACACCTGCCTGCCATTCATGACAATGTACAACTACTCGTGGTGGAATAACAGAATATTGTTCTGCTGCTTTTCTGAAACATTTTAGATGCGATATAAAAATCTAAATCTTAATATAAAAATTATTTATCTGATTAAAGGATAAATATATTAAATCATATGTTTTACCTGAATTCAGAGATAAATTGACAAACTAAATATCCAAGAATTACTGCATCATTTGCTTCAATATCTAAATGAGGAATACCAAGATTGCATGTATTCCACATTTCTTGTTTATATTCATCTAATTTCCATGCTGCACTTCCAATATCAAATAAAATTATTTGAGGATTTCCATCAACTAGCCATGTTCCAGTTACAACCTCAATAAAAGTTTATATATTAAAATAATTGAAGTATCCTATAGGACACAATCACTATACACAAATCTATAGTAATAAACAATTAAACCAAAAAACTCTAGTTAAACACATTGAACTATTATTAAAGGAACTCTTATATCTAACACATAACTATACGTCCTTGATTTATATTTGTAGCCTTTGAAATGTAGCCAATTCATAACTACGCACATGTGTCTTTAACTAATACTAATCAATTCAACAATGTATTTTATTCTTGTACAATGTTCAACTCATTGTTAACATATTTTAATAATTTCTTTTATATCTAGTAATTATTGTAGAATATTTAGAATTTGTTAAAACGTACAATTAACACTTACTTTAAATCCTTGATCACGTAGAATTTGTACTGCTTGATTCAATGGGTTATGATGAGGAAAATCAGCCTCTTCGACTTCAGTTCTTGCTGTAAGTTCTTTGTACGGTCCAATAAGACAATATTGATCACCCATTTCTTCAGTAGATACATAAGCTTTAGACCGTATTACTGTGTATATACCACCAACTAAAATATAGAAATATATATAACAATATAAAAGTGAAACTTATCAAACTTATTTATCAAATGGTATATACTATTATATACATTAGTGTTTATTATAATTAATTGTACCTTTATTGGCGACCTCCCATGCAACTTCAAAATTCCAACGATTTTCATGTTGAGCTGTATAGCCACGATCCATAAATTCTAATAAATCATTGCTACTGTCTACACGGTAAAATCTTCTGGAAGCACGTTCTTTGGACATTTTGCTAGTTTATTTTTGATCTACAATTTAAAATAATGATCCATTTAATATATTTAACATTTCTTTTCTATATTAAATCTTTATTCATTCATTTTCATTCATTCATTTCTTCAACTTGTATTATTTTATAATTCACACGTTTATAAAAGCTATAATTAACAATTTGTTATTTATTTATTTTTATTATCATTTTATTTCTCACCAATTTACACAACACAAATAAACTATTGAAATTATTATTAAACTCTGATAGATAATTGAAAACAATAAAATACCGTATTAAACAAATAAAATTAATGAAATAAGATATCGAAATAGAGTTGAATATCATTCGAACATTATGCACACGTGACAAAATGATATATTATTTAAAACCAAAAGAAAAACAAGAAACCTGTATCGACTTTATTTCTCGAATGTTTCATTCATCATAGAATCCAATATTCAATTATGAATGAGATTCATATTAAAGGAAAAAGAAAAAAGTGAAAGTTTATAAAAAAAAAAAATACGCATTCGTTTTGGTATCGACACTTAAGTTCAAAGGTCAATGACAATAGAAAAATTACACCGGTATAGAAACACTTGAGAGAAAAATCTTTAAGGTATTGAAATAAAACCATTAAAATATACGTTTAAAATTCGTTAGATTTCTTACCGCTCAATCGTCTCTCCTCCTTCGTCACGAGTGTTGAAAAAAAATTTGTTTTCTATCACTCGCAGCTCAGTCAGATAGACGACGAGCCGCAGATTTCCACGCTTGAATTCGTTTGAAGGTCACCACGGACTACGGAAAGGTCACAAGGGCTTGGCTTGAAGATCGTCGGTACTTTAGGCAGATGAATAACGGCGAACGTACGATAACATGATCTCACTTGGGTCTCTTCCGTGACGAATAGATGGCACAAAATCACTCCCGGATTAATTTTCGAACGACTGAATCGTTTGTAATCATATTTCGAACGTTACGAAATTCTTTATAGGTATAGTAGAAAGTATCTACGTGCTATCTTAGGATTATGATGAGAGTGAGATGTGACGCTAAACTGCGCCCTTGAAAATTCAAACGACTAAATTTAGCGCCAAATGTTAATTCCATTTCATTTCTTTTTTTTTGTTATCTTTTTTTTTCCTCTTTTTTTCTTCTTCCTTTTTCTTTTTTTTTTTTCCTATTTTCTTTTTATCCCTTTACAACGCACATGGGCGTGGTACATATATAAATTATAATTCATTAATTAAAACGACGAACGTTGTTTACGAATGAATCTATGCGATGTCGGAATTGTTTGTTTGATTTCTTAAGTATTACGTACGTTTACTATTTTTTTTTCTTTTTTTTTCATTCTTTTTAGTTTTTCTTAGTTACGCCTTTTTTTAATTTCTTTTTTCTCTGTGAACGATAGATTACGTCATAGATGTCGTTGAAATAATATTATGTAAATTCTTCATACGTCGATTGGCGATAAGATGATTTTTTTTTCTTTTTTTTTCTTTTTTCTTTTTTTTCTTTTTTTTTTTATTTAAAACGCATAAGATAAAAGTAAACTGATTGGATTTCGGAAGTATAATAAATAATTGGTAATTGCGTAGTTTATACATATTTTTAATCTATGATAAGATTTCGAGATGAATTTTATTATTTATACGTGTTAAATGTTATCAGTATAAAATGCAATATATATATATATATATATATATATATATATATATATATATATATATGTATATTTCTAATATTGCTATATTATAATTTCATTCGACTTCCAAAAAAATAATTAACAGGAGAATTAAATGTTCTATATATATTACAATTATGTGTGATTTCATGATATCTTTTACATGCTCCTTCATAATTTTTCATTGATGATAATTTTACAATATCTTCAATATCTTCAAGTACAAATTCGTACTCATTTAATTTTTGTGTAAGTGATGCATTTGTTAGATGTTTAAATGGACAACCATAAGATTCTGTTGATTTTATATTAAGATTGATAATACTTGAACATTTCAAACAGGTATAAGTTTTCCGTATATTTCCTTCGCCATATATGTGTCTTAATCGATATCCATACTCTCTTTCAAATGTTGCTTCATTTATTTTTTTTGTAAATTCTTGTTTCCAAAGTTCCATGGCATCGTCTGAAGTAACTCCAATATCTTTTAAAAATAAACTATACTGTTTACGTTCTCCATATTTAAGATGATGATCTTTCCTTAGCATTTCATGAATTATTCTCATACATAATGGATAAGACTTTTTTGACATATCGTCTAATTCTGATAGCGATGGGACATAGTTTTTTTTTATTATATCCTTTTCCTTATTAATATACTCAGTTAACATGTTAAAAATTTTATTGATTCTAGGATCATTTACTGCATCGTTTGCAACTAATGGCATGGATTCTAAACCTTCAGCTAAATTTTCCTTGAAGTAACCAAAACATAATCCAGCTAATTCTTTTTCAGGTACAAAAGCCATACCATATTTAAGAAAAACTTTATGCGTTTCAACTAAATCTATAACAAATGTAAATGGGACCTTGTAAAAAGGCTCGTTATGTAAATTATTCAATTTAATATATTCTTGCAGCTCTTCTTTATCTTCTTCAGAAATATTATGTGTTTTTAATTTATTAACATTAAAAAATTCTTTGATCTCTTCATTAGTTGATGTATATAACCTCCAATAAAAAAGTCTTAATTCTTGAATGTGAAACCATTTTCTTTCATATATTGAAAAAACTCCTCTTAACATAAAATGAGAAATATGATCTTGTTTTCTCAAGTACAATATTTCATTCATCACTTTAACATCTGATCCTAGTTCTTTGCTAGGACCATTTATAATTTTTACAAATATATCATAACCTTTTTTTTTCAATTCATTTATTAATATTTCCTTGCACTGTTGTGCCGTTCTTCTTATACCAGTTCCTAAATATATCCTTTCTACAAACAGTAGAACTTCTAAACGTTGCATACATATTGATTCTAATTCTTTCAATGAAAAATTTCCTACTGGGTAATATTTGTACAGTTGCAAATCATGTAAATATAATTCTGTAGGATTTACAGATGTATCTGAGTTATGACAAGCAAACATTTGAAGATGATACAATATTTAAAAAATATAAATAAAAAATGAAAAATTCTACGAAAATAATTTTCTTGATTCACTTTTTCACTTTTTTCAATATTATACTTTAATTTGCTAGTTTTGTATTAATTTTATATTTTCTGTATTGTTAACAAAAAAGCTGATTTAGAAAATATAATAAATTAAATATTCATTGTAGCATGATTATATTTCTATTTATAAGAAATTTTAATTTTCTCTACTAACGAAGAACTTATTTTTAGGTTATGATATTTAAATTTGTTTGTTTCTATTATAATTTTTGTTATGAGTTTTTCAATATGCACTAACAAATATTTTATGTTATATTAGAGCATATATTTAAATATAAATTAAATAAATAGGTTAATTTTTTCAAAAATAATTAAAGAATAATAAATGAAAAAAAAATATATATATATATTATATATTATATAAATGATATAATGTAATATAATAATTGAGGTAATAGATCGAAATAGTATTTAAAATTTTTCTATTTCTTTTCAAATTTATCCATCTTTTATATTTATATTAAAATTTAACAAGAATAACAAGTATTTAAATTTTATTTTAGAAAATGGCGCTGTAATCGTGGACGATTATTCACGTCAAGTTACTAATCTACGTATTACGAATATATTTTATGGAGCAATGTGGTTTAGTGAAAGATTCGAAGTTTAAACTGTTGTACTCACGTGTGTAAACGATTACCATGGCGGTAAGAACTGAATTAAATTCTATATATTAATCTATTTTATATTTAATAAATCTTTAAAATTCTTATTTGTAAAATTCTTAAGTGTCATTACGATTATATATGATCATACAATACTCTCCGAATTATAGTTACCGGTTAACCCTTACACAAAATTTATTTATTTTTCTTAAATAAAAATTATTTATTGTTAGTTTTCCATAAGACAAGTAATTATTTATTTTATATAATATAATTTTTTGTTTTTTTTTTTGTCAATATATGGAAAACATTCATTATATTCATTTAAAGCGGTTGACATGGTAACTGTATGTTAGATCCATACTTGTATGATATTTGTAATTTTTATATTATTACATATTCTTTTATTATTTTTTATAGACTGTAGCAGCAACAAAAGTCCAAGAAGTTCGTGAGATCACAAGGATTGAGCGTATTGGTGCTCATTCTCATATTAGAGGTTTAGGATTAGATGATAGTTTGGAACCTCGCCATGTAAGTAAATTATATCTTAATTATTTCTTTTATTTAACAATTATATTATTTATTAAAATTCGATGTAGGTATCCCAAGGTATGGTTGGCCAACTCATGGCCCGTCGAGCTGCTGGTGTTGTCTTGGAGATGATAAAAGATGGAAAAATAGCAGGACGTGCTGTTTTATTGGCAGGTCAACCTGGCACTGGTAAGACTGCCATTGCCATGGGATTAGCTCAAGCTTTAGGAATCGATACTCCATTTACATCGATGGCAGGATCTGAAATTTATTCTTTGGAGATGAGCAAAACAGAAGCATTGACTCAAGCTATAAGAAAATCAATAGGAGTTAGAATTAAAGAAGAAACTGAAATAATAGAAGGCGAAGTAGTAGAAATTCAAGTCGATAGACCTGCTACAGGAGTTGGTGCAAAAGTTGGAAAATTAACGTTAAAAACAACAGAGATGGAAACAATTTATGATTTAGGGAATAAAATGATTGATAGTTTAATGAAAGAAAAGGTCTCTATTCTTACAATATATTTATTAAAATCTTGTTTTTTTTTCGTTTTCATTAACATCAGCCTTTTGTAGGTGCAAGCTGGTGACGTTATCACGATTGATAAAGCAACTGGAAAAATTAATAAATTAGGTCGTTCATTTACAAGAGCTCGGGATTATGATGCAACAGGATCACAAACGAGATTTGTACAGTGTCCAGAGGGCGAATTACAAAAACGAAAAGAAGTAGTTCATACTGTCACTTTGCATGAGGTTGATGTTATAAATAGTAGAACTCATGGTTTCTTAGCATTATTTTCCGGTGATACCGGTGAAATTAAATCAGAAGTAAGAGATCAAATAAATGCTAAAGTAGCCGAATGGCGTGAAGAAGGAAAAGCAGAAATAGTACCAGGAGTATTATTTATTGATGAAGTCCATATGTTAGATATTGAATGTTTTTCATTTTTAAATCGTGCATTAGAAAACGAAATGGCACCGGTTGTTATTATGGCAACGAACAGAGGTAATTTATATGTAAATCTAAAGTAAACTATGTAAATTATTTTTTTACCAATGTCAATACGTTTATTTATCTCAGGAATTACAAGAATCAGGGGAACTAATTATAAAAGTCCACATGGTATTCCTATCGATTTACTCGATCGTATGATCATTGTACCTACAACTCCGTATCAAGAAAAAGAATTGAAAGAAATTTTAAAAATAAGATGCGAGGAAGAAGATTGTGAAATGGCAGATGATGCATTGACTGTTCTTACGAGAATTGCTTTGGAAACGTCTTTGAGATATGCTATTCAATTAATCACAACCGCATCTCTTGTCAGTCGACGTAGAAAAAGTACAGAAGTAAGCAAAATGAAATTTGATAATTATTGTACATGTAAACGCAGGAATATTTTCTTTGTTTTTTTTTTGTCCATTTTTAGGTGAGTATAGACGACGTGAAACGTGTTTATTCTTTATTTCTCGATGAAAATAGATCGACACAATTTCTTAAGGAATATCAGGATGATTTTATGTTCAATGAATTACGTGAGTACTCATTAAATATTAAAGATTAATAATATTAAATGTTTATTTATTGAAAAACAAAAACAATCATATTTTTTATAAATGTGAATATACGAAAATAGAAATAATCGATATTTCTCTCTCTCTTTTTTTTGTTTTTTATTTTTTTTGTTTTCTTTTTTCAGCTGAAGAACCTATGGAAATTTCGTAACAGTATGTATTTTAATTAAATTTACTTATCGTTTATATATAAATTAAGAATTTTTAATTTTTAAATACAGTATATTGTTCGTATCACATATTTATGGATTATGATAAATATGATTTTCACGATACAAAGTATTTTATATTAAGCTATCTCAAATCCTGTTTCTTTTGATTTTCTTGCGATATTATTTTGAATATAATTAACAAATATTATATATAACAACTTTTCATATATAGTTTCTAAATTAGATAGAAACACGCACTACTAGTATGTACCTTTTACATCCTTATACAAACTTGCATATATCTATGTTTGCAGAATTTAATTGATTGGACATATGAAATATTTAAAATCATATTTACAAGGATGTAAAAGGGACAACATGCTTTTGTACATTCTCCGTTCGATAAATAAATCTAAAAATCATTAACAAAGATTCTATTTTGATTTTGATTAATATAAATATAAAACAAATATAATTTTTTTTACTTCTGTTACATATAATCCATTAGTATGTACATATGTGTGTATATATAATATATACTAAAACATTATTCAAAGTAAATAAAATTAATTATTAAGAAGAAATGTGTTGGAGATAAATTAATTTTTGGTGTAAAGCATTTAAACTTATGTTAAAAACGATATCAACGTTTGCGCAGAATTATAATAAGCTCTTTAAATTACATTAAATTTATTTATCATTACGAATTATTTATATATTTATCGTCGAAACGATCCAAATTAAATTTTCTTTTCTTGACTTTTCTTAACTGAAAAATAAAAGAAAACACAAAATTTGTTATAGGAAAGAAAATGAGATTATGAGATATATAGGGAAGAGAATGATTATTATTTATTTATTTATTTATTTCTTTATTTATTATTTATTTATTCATTATTTACTTATTAGTTATTCCAATACTTACTTGTAATTAATTTCACAGTGCCATCTGGTTTGAACGAGGATTGAGCTTTCTTATCTTTTGATATAAAACCTAATCCATATTCAACTTTATAAACTGGCAATGGGATTACGGTAGAAGACACGGGTATCATTACTGAAAATAAATAATTATTATATTAATAAACAAACGAGAAACGTAAATCTATCGATCGTTTTAAGAAAAAAATGGGGGAAAAAAAAAAAAGAAGAAAAAACAAGAAATACTTTAAATCGTCGAGTTAGATACGAGGTTAATGTGTGTCGCGTGTCTCTGTGTATTTGTAAATAAAGCATAATAAAAGAGTAACTTAAATAAAGACGTCAGTTCTTCGCTGATCTCCGTAGATCGTGGACGTTATTTTTATAGACTTCGAGTAAGTATAAAATTCTTTCGCATATACATACAATTTGTCCACATAATAATAATAATAATCATAATAATAACAATAATAATAATAATAAGTTAACAAATAGATAAATGTAAAAAATGTAAAGTACAATTTAAAACAAAAAATTAAATAATTAGAGGATGTAAATAATTGGCAGGTATAAAATACATAGGACGTAGACAGAGCACTACAATCAAAATATTACACGAAGTAATAATCGATAAATACAATCTGGAACGAAATAATACACTATGTTATAAATATAAATTAACAACAATCATAGAAACATAAGCTACGAATACTATACTTGAATATAATATGCACAGAACAAAACAATTAAAATACAATCGACCGAATTTTTACATTTACGTACAAATATTTATAATAAAATATAACATAGTCTCATTGATTATTTCAATACCTAATAACAATAAAATACAACGCAAATATCACGATAAAACAGAAAAATATGTGCCGGTGGTTTAGGAAATACAAAAAAAAAAAAAAAAGTTGTTGAAACCACAGAAAATACTTACGCATAATCCATTAATAATATCTTTATTCAGGAATCTATCTCATAACCAACAGTTAAAAAAAAAAAGGATACATTAAAACATTGAATCCTACAATCCACATTGACAAAAGAAAGTTTATAGGGCAGCTATACTAAAAATTTGTGCATCATCATAGTGCAAACATTTTTAAATATAGAAGAAGAAAATTAGACTTGGCGGAGACTCGTTTAATATCCCAATAAATAAGAGAAAAAAAATTAATGATATAATAATAATAATAATAACATATATTTTAATCAAACATTATTTCAAATTATAATTCATAATAACAATTAAGAAAATTATAACACATATAACAATCGTATAATAAATAATATTTTATATAACATTTTTAATATTTTGAAACTAGAACACAGAGAAAGATTGAATATTACGTCGCTACGATATTATCAAACATTATTTCCGATTATAATATTTTATATAATATTTTTAATAATTTGAAACTAGAACACAGAAAAAAGTTGACCATACTACGTTGGTGTGACGTTATTCCAAATATTTCAACTATTTTACTACCGACGAAGCAATTTCCTTTTTAGTAGAAAAATTTGAAGAAATGGGTATTAAGTTTAAAGTACTAAGAAACTCTTATTGTCCAATGTCTTTCCATTCCGACTTTTAATAAAACATATCAAATAATTGCAAGTCTATCTAATAAAAAGTCGATCTTTTTCATACTCTCTCTATCTCTCTCTCTCTCTCTCTCTCTCTCTCTCTATTTTTCTCTCTATCTCTCTATCTGTCTCTCTCTCTCTCTCTTTCTCTTTCTCTCTTTTTCTTTTTCTCTTTCTTTCTTTTTCTTTTTCACTTTGTCAGCTTTTGTAGATAGGACGAAAAAGATAAAAGTGTTTCTAACGAAGCGTTGAAAACTTTAACAATTTAAGCTTTAAGGGATTAAACTCGTTAGTTCACGTAACACTTGTACTTTGGGATGGTGCACACTTAGTTGCAATAGGTGACGCATTGTGTTCCTTCTCTCATATACACACACATACACATTTTCCACGTATCTAATCAGGTCTCTCCTTCCCTCTTTCATGTCCTCATTCCACAGTAATAGCCAAGGACGAGCTATCGACTTCCTTTTCTGTCGTCTTAAAGCTCCTACGTAGGTGGATGCTTCTCGATTGAATACTTTCGTCTCCAGTAACAAGAGATATTGTTACAATCATCACTTCACGGATCACTTTTCTTCCTTATATATCCGAAGAAAGAGAGAGAGAAAAGAAGGAAAAAAAGAGAGAGAAAGAGAGAGAGAGAGAGAAAAGAAAAATGAAAGAATAGTAAACTGATAAGGACAATTGTTGCATATGTAATCCATTACGATTGAATTAATGTGTGTATGTGTGTGTATGTTTGTAAGAAACTACTGTATAAATCAAATTAACATAAAAGAGAAAGGAAAAGAGATCGAACATATTAGATTATTAATTTTTCCCGTAAATTTGCCAATACGTTTGGACCGGTCAAACGACATATTATTTTTAATAGATATATAATGTTGAATCGTTAAATATCAAATACCTTTAACGTGAACGTTTAACGCAATGTTACGTATCTTTAATTAAGATTTCTCGAAATTAATATCATAGATATTATCACACAAATATGCACATGCACATACCACATAATATTGGTACCGCATAACAGTATAAAGAAAAATTATTATTTCACTTTCTATGTAGATATCTATTTATCATACATTTACACGATAGGTTCATTCGATGTTTGACTCTTCAGTCGGATTATCCCTGACGTGTTAAAATATACACACACACACATACATTGGCATGTGATATGAAAGAAGTCGCATCATCAACAAGAAAAGAAAAGAGAGAGAGAGAAGAAGGGTGTTAAAACATATGTACTAAATACTATATATATATATATATATATATACGTTATATATATATATACGTTGGAAATACATAACAAACGGACATTATAAAACAGTCTCGTCTACGTTTGAGTTAAACCACGAGTCTCAATTAGACTCCGGGATTTTCGAGAGTTTGCTGTAGTGTCAGCCGGTGGTCTCTCATTCGTTGCACCGTACAGACGCATTTCGAGATTAGCCGTGATATATATCTCCATGAATGCGAACACGTGTATTAACGTGTAGCAAGTGGAAAGGGACCTAGGTTTCAATGATATTGGTATTAGTGTTGGATATTGGTATTAGTATTGGTATTGATGTTGGTGTTAGTGTGAATGTTGGCGTTGGTATCAGTGCCAGTACTGATACCGGTGGTTCATACTAACGATCGTAAACGTATAGAGAAACACGCGTTAATCGTGACTGGGTGCCGCAGAAATCAAGAATACAATCTAACCCGGGATCACGGCCTCTCTATAATCCTCACCCACGCGTTTCCAACTGACGTCATCGTTCCGTTATTCTCTCACCTGTCAATGATCGCCTTATATCGAGAATGTTCCGTTTCGAAATGATCAATTAAAACAGAAAAGAAAAGCAAACAAAAAAAGAAAGAAAAGATAAAGATAACAAGCGACGCTTGAAGATTTCACACGCTTTATTAACCGAACGTACATACTTTACATCAATCAATGAATCTAATCGATTGGTTTTTCTTTCTTTCTTTCTTTCTTTTTTCTATTCATTTTTTCTTCTTCTTCTTCTTCTTCTTTTTTATTAATAATTAATAAAGTTCATACTCGGGACCAGGTGCAACGATCGTCTTATCTATTTACTTCGATATATAAATTCGACACCAGTCTCAACTCGTTGTCCATCGTTATCGATGATTAATAACACCGATAGGGATATATATAATATATATAGGGATATATATAAATATAGGGATATATATAATATATATATATATATAATGTACATATATAATATGTATATATAATGTGGTGGAATATCCGACATGACACTGACATGACGTCCCGTGACATATTGTTAAACGAGTGAGAGAGGGTGGGAGAGAAAAGGAGAAGAAGAGAGAGAAAAAGGGAGAAAAAAGGTAGAGAAAGAGAAAGAAAAAGATAGGTAAATAGATAGATAGATAGATAGATAAATAGAGAGAGAGAGAGAGAGAGAGAGTGAGAGAGAGAGAGAGAGAGAGAAATATATAGAAAACACGATGTTGGTTCTTACGTTAATTAATTTCGACGCCGATTAACGTGAAAGTTTTTCTGCAGTAAACTTTTTCTTCGAGCGACAGAGAATGAGAGAGAGAGAGAGAGAGAGAGAGAGAGAGAGAGAGAGAGAGAGAGAGAGAGAGAGAGAGAGAGAGTGAGAGAGAGAGAGAGAGAGAGAGAAAGATGTTAAGACCTATTTCGATTTGAAAGAGAAATACGAACAGTTTTAATTTTTTTGTTCTTTTCTTTTTGTTTCTTTCAATTTTATTTTATTTTCTTTTTCTTTTTTTTTCTTTATATTCTGTTTTCAATGTTTTATGTGGCCTTCAATAAAATTTAGGACACGCATGTCTCGTTCTCCTATTTAAGCGACTACCGGCGCGTACTAACCGACCATCTTTTTTTCGTCGAGGAAAAAAGAGAGATTTTATTCGGTCTAGTAAAAAGGAGAGAAAGAGAAAAATGAAAGAAAGAAAGAAAAAAAGAGAAAGAAAAGGAAAGAAAGAAAAAAGAGAAAGAAAAGGAAAGAAAGAAATGAGAAACACGAATGAGATATTTTTCTTCAAACGAGCTGCTTCGTTATCTTTTTCCTAGTGACGAGTAACTACGATGTCCGAGATGTTACATATTATAAGAAGATATATGTACGTATGAAGAGTAATAATAGAAAATGTTGAATTGTTGAAAATTTACATTTAAAATAAAACATAGAATCAATTTAAATTATTCGTGTAATATTTATCACCTCGAGTTTATAATTTTTATTTAAACTCGACGATTTGTAAGAAGATAGAAAAGGGAAAAGAAAGAAAAAGGAAAAAAGAGAGAAAAAGAGAAAGATTAAAAGAGAAAGATTCAAAGAGAAAGAAAATGAGAAAGATTAAAGATGAAAATGAAAATCTTGACGAGGACAAATCCGTCTAATTTCTTTCTTTCTTTTATTCTTTTTTTTCTTAACGTTCGCTAACGATCATCGATCGTTTTTAGATATTTATTTGTTTGTTTACCTGGTTCAAAAACGTTGTCCTGATTTCTCTTGTAAATCGTAGGCTTCGCTTGCGTGATCACGACCACCAGCACGCAAAACGTTAAGATCGTCCGTATGATCGACATTTTTCTTTCGTCTTCTTGAAGTCAAGTCTTCTCGATTATTTTATTTTATTGTATTTTCTTTTTCTTTTTCTTTCGTTTTTTTTTTTGGATCTTACTAATTCAAAATCACACTTCAAAATCGAGAAGAGGATAACACTCTCTCTTTCTCTCTCTCTCCCTTTTTCTCTTTTTCCTCTCTCCCTCTCCCTCTCTCTCCTTCTTTCTTTCAGCCTCTCTTTTCGTCTCTCTCTTTCGAGATCGTCGAGTTTGCTACGCGATGTTTGGATCGGCACTAACATAAGCGCGGGCACACTCGTAAAGAAGTGAAAACACTTGGCCGCGAGTGGGGAAAGTCGAGAACGCAAACTCGCGAAATCCGTTGGTAGAGAATAAAATATCTTCGGGGTCGGGTTAAGAGGGGAGATGAAGGGAAAGAGGGAGGAGGAGGAGGAGAAGAAGGAAGAGATCGGTTTTACTCTCTTACAGAGATTGGTATCTTCATCTTTTTATTTCACACCATTTCTAGAATTCGTCGTTAACTGATAGGTTTACTATTTAACGAGCAATAAAAACGAGCGAACAGGGTGGTGGTGGTGGTGGAGGTATTGGAGAGGGGTTGGGTGGGATGTGGATTGGACGCAGGTATATACTATAGGTATTTATTTATGTCTCGACGAGAGACGCTGCATCATTTTTTTTGCGATCATTGTTTCTTTTCTCAGATACACTCTTCGGAGTAATGTGTGTGTGTGTGTGTGTGTGTGTGTGTGAGAGAGAGAGAGAGAGAGAGAGAGAGAGAGAGAGAGAGAGAGAGAAAGAGAGAAAAAAAGAGCAAGAAAGAAGATTTTTCTGTTTTTCCTTTTTTTTTTCTTCTTTTTATTTTTTTTTTTTTTTTTTACGAGAAGACGTATGTAGATATTATTGATCGATTATCGTTCGAGACTTCACCAGAGGCTACTAGGAATTAATTACCATCTCATTAAAGAGTTGTTTATTTATTAGGCACGAGACGAGCTTTCGATGAGACGCTATTTATAATCCATGCTTTTATTTTTATTCTCTACGTAAATACATATACACACAGACACACACGCATTCATACATACGTATGTATATGCGTACATATATAGACATATATAAATACATACACACACACATACACAGGTATTATATACAGTTAAGGTATATCCATAATTATTATTTGTAGAAATTTTTTTCAATACAATATATCGATCAACGTAATTTACTTAATAAATGAGAAAGTAGAAAGTAGAAATCATTGTCTGTATTGTTTCACTATAAAAGAAAAAGTTTATAATATGACGTACATACATGAGTCGAGGTGAGCATGAGATGAGATAGAGGTGATACGATCAAGGTGTTCGAGAAGACAATCTGGGAGCGTCAAGGATTTATATTAATCATTCTCGGTAAACGCGCCGTTAAAGCAGCCATTTACATATATATATAGTTTACGCATATAAGGGTGCGACGTAATAGTCTGATTAAAACCCAATAAATTTCATCCCCTCATACACTCTTTGATAATCAACGATCAACGATTATATTTCGATCATCGGATAAAATCTACCAGTACGATCGGCATATGTATTTAACGATCGTGCTTATTTACTCATTCGCGTTAGTCATGCGACGAACTCGCGAGAGCTACGATTGGAAATAAATTAATCAATCAATCGTATAAATAACTCGCGCTTCGTCACTTTTTTTTTTGCTTTTCTTCCTTCTTCTTTTTCTTTATTTTTTTTTTTTTTTTTTTTATTTTCCATCTTTTATATTTTTTTTTTCAACGAGAGAGAAAGAGAGATAGGATAGATGGTAATGCATACCTACAACGATAATTATTTTCAGTCATTTATAGATTGATCCGATTTAAAATCAAGTGGATGTAATTGCAGGAACGTGTCCTCGTACATTATAAATCGATCGACATCATCGATGAGGAGAATTATGTCGTGAGAGAAAATGAGAAAATGAAAGGAAAGAGAGAAAGAAATAGAGACAGATAGGGATATATATATATATATATATATATATATATATATATATATGTATATACATATAGAAAGAGAGAAAAAGAGAGAGAGAAAGAGAGAGATCTAGACAGATAGACAGACAGAGAAATAGAGAAAGAAAGCTAGGGAAGCTAGAAAATTGACAAATATGCAGGTTCGACGATAGCGACGCTAATTACAAACGGTCGACGCCGGGCGTGACAGTGGCATGGTGGTGGTTCAACAATGGAAACTGGGTTAAAAAGTGAAAGGATCGAGATTGGAGAAGAAGAAAAAGAAGATAAAGGGAGATAGAGATAGAGATAGAGATAGAGATAGAGATAGACATAGAAAGAGAAGATGTGGTGAGGAGGTGGGGGGAGCGGCGGGGCAGTAGAAGGAGGGTAGCGTGGAGTTCGAATCGAGCATACGTTCGCACGAACGTCCTTAAACGAGTCGGTCGACGTCGCATTTTCACGATATTCCAAGACGAGCCTTCTCGTTGACGTCGTTTTCATTCTCTCCTATCCCTCCCCCTTATCTCTTCTCTCTCTCTCTCTCTCTCTCTCTCTCTCTCCACGCTACTGGCATTATTACTCGAAAAGGAATTCGAGAGCGACTTCGAGAGGATGCCTGCTGCCTCCGTACCTCTCTTCCTCACTGAAAGTTGGCGGACGACGCGACAAGCTCGCTTGACGTTTCTCCTCCGTCGCATGGAGAATTTGTTCGCGCTGTGCAAAATTCCAGCGAGTGGTGGTGGTGGATGTGGTGGCGAGGGGGAGGGAGGGCTTGAGGAGAGGAAAAGAAAAAAGGAAAAAGAAAAAGGAAAAAAAAATGAGATCTCGCGCGTTCTCCCGTTAAAGCGAACCGTAAAAAAAATGGAGGATTCGAGGGACGAAGGCGGGGTTTTTTATTCCATCCTTATTCCATTCGAACTTCCATTCTTCCGTATTTCTCTTTTTTCCTTTCTCTCTCTTTTTTTAACTATCTCTCTCTCTCTCTCTTTCTCTCTGACTTTCTCTTTTTTACATTAATTACCTAAAGCCGGCGTCCTCCTCCCTACCTCCTTTTTCTCTCACTCTCTCTTTCCCTCTCTCTCATCCCCCATTCTCTGTCTCTCCTTTCTCAACATTCCCATTTCCTCATTTTCCAACGCAACGACGCATATCGAACGGCGAGTAAAAGCGACGCAAGCCAGACGCTTATTTCACCGTTTTTCCAGATCTTTTCTACGATCGTCTAAGCGATTCTAACCGTCTCTACTATTACACTTTATTTCCACGATTTTTATTAACAAACCGTCTCTTCGTCTTCCTTCTTTCTGTTACCGTCATTAACCATAAATCCTTGAACTCTTACCGACTCGACTCCCTGCAATGTGAACGATCGTTCTTTCTTCTATATATATATGTGTGTGTATGTGTATATATATATATATATGTATATATATATATATATATATATATATCTATCTATCTAGCTATCTCTCTCTCGCTCTCTCTCTTTTTCTCTCTCTCTCGCGCGCGTGTCTATCGTTCGCGACAACGATCAATAGCTGGATTTCACGAGCAGTGTATGTGGTGGTATATGAGTCGACGGACGTTCGACTACGTAATGAAATGGATCAAGTTATGTATTCTGATATTATAATTATGGCATTTAATAAATTCAATTGAAAAAAAAATTTTTGTCGAAATAGATCGCTTGAAAAAATTGCAGTTAATTGTGTTATTAATGAAAATTAGATTAACCGTCGTAATCTTTGCAATGTATGTCGTGAATTTTTTCCTTCCAAATTTTATTGTTGTTGTAGTACTCAAAGTATTTGATGTACGAGCCAATAGACGTTCGAAATTAAATATATTATGTAATAAAATGGATTATCAAGTTGTGTATATATTTTGATATTATAATATTTACATGTAATAAATCTAAAGATTTGAAAGGAAATAAAACGCTTAAAGAAATCGTAGTTAATTGTGTTATTAATGAAAATCAGATTAATCATCAGACTAATCGTTGCTGTCCTTTGCAATATATCGTTATTTTGTTCGTATAATAATATTTTATATATTTCGTATCGCTTAATACATTTAGCTAACAACCAATGAATTATCAAGTCTAATTGAATGAATTATAGGAGGAAGAGGGTGGTGGATATGTTATGATCATCCTTAACTACCAGCGAAATAAACTTATTATTAAATCAAGATACACGATAACATATTAGATGCATTTATATATATATATATATATATATATATATATATATATATATATATATATATTTATAAATCTATAATAATGAATATTTTTGCTTTTTATTCGTAATAAAATTAATCCTTTGAGATGAAATTAATGAAAATTGCATGACAGATAATACGTATGTACACGTTAAAAACCTTTTTAAAAAAAGATCTAGATCCATCGTCGATAGAATTATAATAATTAAAATGGTACTAATTGAACGACTTCATTTTATTTCTGGTAAAGGTATAAAACCTAGTAAAGTATCGTTGATTAAATCGTCGACAATCGGGAAATCGTTTTTAACCATTTTATCATCTACCTTTCTCCAAGCTGTTCTCGAGAAGAGAGCAACGTTATCCCATGAATATTTAACGTTCTTACAGGGTGTAAATTAAACGGAATTACGATTTAAATCGTCATCGTTACCCCCTGACTTTGTAAGGTATTATAAACGTGTACGAGACGATCTTCTTTCATCGCGGTTCTCAAGGATGAAGAATAGGAGGTAAAGAAGAAGAGTAGAAGGAGGAGGAGGAGGAGAAGGAGAAGGAGGATGAAGAGAAAGAAGAAGAAGAGAGAAAAAAAGAAAAAAAACCATCATCATCTTCTTTTTTAATAATGGCTATCTCTCGTGTCGCGTGCAAGCGAAGCACGAAGCGTCGACCGAGAGATGAGTCTTGTCGAGTAATCGCGCGATCGTTAATAAAAATATGCGATCATGCGAGAGAACGCTTTAAGTACGGTGTAACTTGGCTAACGAGAGAAGCGTATTTTAGATAAATTATTAAATGTTTGCGACGTCATTCGAGAAACGAGCTAATAACTTGATATTTTGGAAGCTAATGAAAATAAAAACTAACATAAAATATACTTTATTTGTTATACCTATATATATATATTACTAATAATATAATAATAAATAATATATGCGTGTGTGTGTGTGTGTATGTATATATATATAGTAATATAAATATAAAAAAATAATATAAATAGTATAAAGTATTATATCTTACTATATTTTTATAATAATTTGTAACCAATATTACATAACCAATAGTATATAAAGTGATTACAATATTTGTAATCATTTATAATACATTTATAATAAATAATAATATATTTTTGTAATAATATTAATATATTACTAGAACTATTACTATTACGAAAATTAAAAAATATTAATTAGTATATTATATACATATCTACATACATATACACATATAGATATATATTTACATAAGTGTGGAAAGATTTC